CCTCTCCATGTTTCACCCAAATCAAGTAATCCTTTGTAAAGCCACGGCGAACCAAATGAGAACTGATTTCTCCTGCATCCTCAAATACAGCAACATTTTTATATTCGATGCAAGGACAACATATGTACTTTGTCTTTTGTCTGCATGCATGCCTCCTGGCGGCATCAATAAATTTATGAACCTCCGAATGGTATGACAGGTGTAATCTTGATAAGCTGTATATCCATAACGATCTTTCTATCTTTAGCTATACAAAAATTATAATGGTAACATCTAATTAATTGGGTTCATTTAAAATTATTTGATGAAAATTAAAATTATTGTAGTTATTTGAATAAACTAAAAATTAATGTAATTTCAAAACATCTAGTTTGGTGAATAAACTAGATTGTTTAAAATATTTTTAAACAATATTTCTCTCAAAACACAAGCATGAAACACTCTCTCTCTCTCTCTCTTTTCATAACATATTTTAACACCCACATTATTTATAACAACCATTAAAGCAAGTGATAATACCAATTCTCTCTCTATAATACTACCATTTTTCTCTCTCTCCCTATGAAACCCTAGGTCTAGTTTTGAATCAAATTTATAATGGAGAATCAACTATGAGAGGTGCATCACTATAATCCAAACCTTCTAAAGTACCATGTATTGAAATCCTAAACAAAAATCTACTACCACTCTCTCTATCTCTCTCTCAAAACACAAGCATGAAACACACTCTCTCTCTAGCTAGATCTAGTTTTAGCTCAAAGTGAGAAGCACTAATGCAAAAAGAGCTATGAGAGGCATTAATTAACCTTCTTAAGCCACCTCCTCCAAAGAAATGAAGAGCAAAACCTCTCTCTCTCAAAACACAAGCATGAAACTCTCTCTAGCTAGATCTAGTTTAAGCTCAAAGTGAGAAGCACTAATTCAAAAAGAGCTATGAGAGGCATTAACTAACCTTCTTAAGCCACCTCCTCTGAAAAAATGAGGAGCAAACCCTCCCCCTTCTATTTTGCGATTTTTGGACCTCCAAGTTCGCCACCAATGGAAGGTGGCTCGGCTGAACAGTGCTGGTCGGGGGAGGAAGTAGTATTTATAGCAGATGCATTAGTGAGGGTTCATATAAAAATGCCATTGAAAATGAGTATCACAGGTGGTTCATATACCGCAAGTGTAAATGTCTGACCGTTTATGTAAGCAAGCCGCCGGTATAAATGGCTAATGCAAACTGCCAGTGTAAATAGGCCGTTAACACTGGCGGTTTTCTTACACAAACCGCTAGTGCAAAGGCTTTTACACATGCGGTCCTTGAGGCCAGCCCACATATTTCTCTCTACTGGCGCCACCTCTTTCCCAACCGCCAGTGAAAAAAAAGGGTAGCTCCAAGAGAAATCACCAGTGTACTAGTATCTCTACAAATTGTAGTTCCATTATTTTTTGTCAGAAACAACAAGTTCTCCTAACCAGAGGGAGTATACATATAATATATTTGCAAGTTATTAGCAGCTGTTTGAATCTACCACCATGTGGTTGCGCTTAATAATTAGCTACAAGTTCTTGTTTTTGGCTCAGTGGAGACCATTACCTCATCGTACCATTTAGGGCACACAAGCATGGACAAGATCCTTCAATTTCTCCATAGTTGATGATTGGAGGGCCTGGCACCTTGATAACTAGGCAGCAGGGTTAAGTTCTCTTCTTGTGCCCCTACATTCTAGTCTTCTCTCTATATATAGTCTATTATTGTCTTGTCATCTCTCTCTCTCTCCATATAGTCCATTATCAAGTTATGGTTTGCAAAATTTCATTTTAGATAGCTATGGTCAGAGGCAAGATTTGTGACAATGAATGTTTTTTTAATTATATGAATGCATTTTTCAGATTCATGGCCTAATGTTCCAATAATAATTCTTCTGATCTGATAAATAATTTACAATGTCCTTGTTACTGTAGGTTCACGATCGCGTATGCTATGAACCTAACATTTGCAACAATAAAGGTTTGTCTCCTCTCATCCAATTTTACATATATGTATCCGATGGATAAATCAGATGTAGGTGGTGCTATATAGACATATTCTCATGCATAACACAACCCTGTTTGGTTGCTTATGGACGTGTAGGGTGGCAACCATATTCCTCCGAAAACAAATCCTAAAGAATCATTTACTATGGCTAAAAGGTGGCTGGACAATGAGCCCCTATAACCCTGACACGCCTACCTTCTTAGGCTGCACCTCTTAATTCAGATCCATCATCCATAGTGTAAGGATAAGGCCCCAAGATGATTATGTGAAGCCAGTGAATGCAATAAAGCATGCCAAGTGTTAAACCTTGCTTTGAGGTGTTGATAACAATTTTCTAGTCCTTTTTGGCTTAAGTGTTACTGAAAATTAGAGTTGTGGGTACCAGCGTAGTGAGATGCTAAGAGATAAGGCAAACGCCACGCATCCTTAGTGGTGGTGTAGGTGTATGTGGTGGTTGGGGACTTTCTATATATAAACATAGTGTGAGGATGGGGGCCTCAGCCCCTCTAGTTCCCTAAAAACATAGTGGGAGGACATAGTACAATAGAAGCAACTATACATATATAATACCCACTTGTTGTCATAGTGGGAGGATGTCAAACACAAAAAATTCAACCTAAAGTTTGCAAACAACTGTACAAGTCTTTGATCATCTTCTGTGAGCTGGTGTAATGATAGGACATGAAGAACACAAACTTGTCCTAAAGTGACCTTCCCATGTATGAAGTGAATGTCAATCTCGATAGATGTGAACCGTGTGGCAATGATGAACAAGGATAGATATCTTGTAGACAACACTAACATTATCACTGAAGTAATCGAGACATGGAACTCCTAAAGAAGCTGTAGCAACCAACAACACTCGGTTTTATGAGTCAAAATTTTTGGCCAACTATAATCTTTAGAGCCTACTTCTCCTTGAAGACAATGATGTATGGGCATACATTAGGGGAAATGTTGTTCTCTTTTCAACCAAAGTTTACAAATGACTAATTGGTCATGCACAAGTACATCAAGCATTCTAATGTTTATGAAAAGCTAAAGTTAGCCCTAGCATAAAGTCTTCTTTTGGCTCCTACGGTCCTACCCAAGGATAGATTGAGAACAAGGGAATTTTAATAAAGGAAAAACATGGAGCTCGCATCTTACAATTGTATACTGTGTGCTGAGAATGTAGAAGAATCATTATCACATTTATTCATTCATTGCCCTTTTGCAAAGTAATGTTGGGCCCCTCTGCAAATCGAGATTTGGTCCCATCATAACCCTTTGTAGGTTCATGAAGATTTCTTATAGTAGTTGTCTTACCTTTCTTCGTTTTACGAGGAAATCTACCTACCTTTCTTCGTTTTACGAGGAAATCTACCTTCCATACCTGATTGCTAAGCTATTTACAAAAAAATTGTTTGCCTTGGTTATTCATAGAGCAAAGTCGCTATACTTTCCTACATAGAAGAATGTTTACAAAACTTTCTGTAATCCCTTTTTGGTTTCTTTGTTTCGCTTTGTGTTCCTTAGATTGTTGTACTCTCTTTTGGCCCTTTTTATATAATATATATTAAATGGGAAAACCCCTCCTATTACATAAAGAAAACACTCATCAAAGGCGTGGATGAGGATGATGGCACAGTATTCTACGTTTTCCCTAGGGAGGGAGAATGTGGTATGTCGTACCGAGGACCAGGTTACCAAATTGTCACCGAGAAAGGCACCATAGCCATGTCCAAGATAATATAATGATATTTGTCATTTGGATTTCATTTAGAATAAAATAAATGTCAATAAATTGAGAGCTAAGTTGGTTGTATGATTAGGATGTGGTGAAAAAAATGGCAAACACAGAGGTAAAAAGTATCAAGGCGAGCAAGAATCTGATTGTCAGCAACCTTTTGGAGAAAAAAATGAGGTTGTGTTTAACACATAAACCATTCATTCGTTCCAAATTATAAGACGTTTTGTTTTTTCCTAAATATATTGCTTTTACTATGTATATCCAAATATAGTGCATATCTATTTTTTTAAGCATACATAGTGCATATCTAAGTGTATAGTAAAAGCTATGTGTGTTAAAAAAAGCCAAAATATCTTATACTCCCTTCGTCCCAAATTATAAGACGTTCCAACTTTCTTGGAGAGTCAAAACATCTTAAGTTTGACCGAAATTATAGAAACAATTACAATGATTTATGACATCAAACATGTATACTATAGAAATATAATTAACGAGGAATCTAATGTTACTTATTTTATTTGGTATCATAAATGATATTATTTTATTATATAAATTTGGTCAAACTTGAAATATTTTGACTCTCCAAGAAATTTAGAACAACTTATAATTTAGGACGGATGGAGTAATTTAGAATGGAGGGAGTAGGGAAAATTAAGATTGGGCTTGGTATAATGAAGTCCATAAAACCTGCAGGCTAACACAAGTCATAGGAATTCTGCCCAGTTAAACGTCAAGGCCCAAGGTCAAGGCCCACCACACAATTAAGCCCACACCGAGACAAGCAAACGGTCGAAGCCTGGAAGAAAAGGTTGACAGCTGTTATAAAAGAGGCGCCCGCGGCCTGCCTCCCACCATTTCGTCTTCGTCTTCGTCTTGTTGGGCAGAAACGAACCCGAGGGGAAGGGCGGGAAGGGAAGTAGAAACAGCCTCGGCGACGAGAGGTGAGCTCTCGAATCACCCCCATCCTCTCGCTCGATTTCGGTCCGATCACCCCCGTCCTTGGCTCAATTGCAACCCCCTCCCCGTTTTCCGGTGATCGGAGCCCCAATTTGGTTCCCGTCTCCCTCGAATTTGCTGTGTTCCCGCAGCCGATTTCGTCGCTGATTCCCTCCACCGCGTTTGCAATTCGCAGGTAGAATCGAGCCGCTCGCCGGTGCTGTTGGATAAGAGCAGTCGCTACCCATCCACCCACCAGCCACCACCACCACCCGCCCCTCGCGCGGACAAGTTCCGGAGGCGCAGGCGAGAATGGCGGAACCAGGCGACGCCGTGGCCTTCATCGGCGACGCCCCCTTCGAGGTCCTCAAGGCGATCCTCGGCCGGCTGTCGCCCAAGTGGATCCTCCGCATGCGCTCGGTCTGCAAGGCGTGGCGCGACAAGCTGTGCAGCAGGGCCCTCCTCGCCCTGCTCCACCGCGAGGAGCCGCCGCGGCCGCTCCTCTGCTTCGACAGCGCCGCCTGCCCCGACCGCTACCTCCGGCTCAGGGACTACCGCGTCGAGTCCCTCGACCTTGGCTCCGACAAGCTGCGCTACGTCTTCCGGTTCCCCAAACGCGAGTTCTACGACTTCGACGACAACGACCTCTGGGGCCGTGACGCTCCCCACATCGAGGCCTCCCGTGTCGACTTCGAAGGGATGGAGAACGACGTCGACCGCTTCAGGCAGCAACTCTTTGTCCACGGTTCCCTCGATGGTTACCTCCTCGTCTCCTTCGCCTTCCATTCGTACGTCATCAACCCCGCGACGCGCCGCTGGGTATGGCTCCCGTATCTTGAGGATCTTGGGGACTTGCAAGTGGCCGGGTTCTATGAGCATGTCCCTTCCGGCGATTACCGTGTGCTGTGCGTCACCGGCCGACATATCAGAGAAGAAGAACCGACATGCTGGTACCACGTCCTCCATGTGAGCCCTGTGCAGCTGCGGTACATCGGGCGCCCCATCTCGCCGGCCGCGCCCGAGGACCAAGTGTTACGCTCACAGTTAGCGTACGGGGTGGAGACGCCCTGCATCTCCCCACCCATCCAGTTCAAACGCAACCACCACCTGCACTGGCCGCCGCAGGACATCCAGCAATACCACATGCTGGTGTTCGACACAGAGAAAGAGGAGTTCAGCTGGAAGAACCCTCCTCCTGAGATTGAAGAAGAGATGAGGCTGCTTGAATTCCCGAACGGCGACCTCGGCCTGTCCCTCTCCAGGATGAACAAGCCAACGCTGGAGCTCTGGTGTCTTCAGGATTACCAGAACGACGTTTGGGTCCCCGTGTACCGGATTCACCTGGCCCTCCAAGTCCAACAGATGCCACGACTTCTGCGCCCTCTTGATTTTTTTTTGGGTTCCAGCTGTTGTCTCACCAGAAGGAGATATGCTGATCTAGTCCCATCCCATCCATGGATATCCAAGCAACCAAACGCACCCCAACTGGGTGTTGCACTGTGACAGGAACGGCAATTTGCTGCGCCAGTTTTGGTTTCCTGAGTCAGTGACGTGGTTGCCTATTAGGCATGTGCTGAGGGAGAGCCTTCTTCCGCATCCAATGTTCCGGGCGCCCAAGGTTGATGGTGCTACTGAACCGCCTTTCTTCCATGGGCTGTGTAGTGATCCCAGCTCGTGATGGAATTTTTCAGCATCTATGCTTTACATCATGTGGTGGTTTCTGTTGATGAAGCTTGACTGAAACAAGCTTACTTCTCCTGATCTCTGGATACTGAAGGGGTAACAGTCATGACCATATGCTCCTGTTTCATTCCCTTGGTTGTATGAAACTCTCTGTTGTTCGAACATATGTTGGATGCTCGCTTAAGTTTGGGACATGATTCAGGTGCCATAGTTGTGTACTCAGGAAGCAGTCTTCTGCTTCCCTTATGGCCCTGTTCGGCTTACCCCATATTCGGCTTGTTCGGCTTCTTTTTTCAGCCGGAACAGTATTTTTCTCTCACAACAATTCAGCCGGAACAGTGTTTTTCAGCCAGTTTCAGCCAAGTTTCAGAGTGTTGGAAATTGATCTGATAATGCACCTCACAGTCTTCTATGAACAGAGAAATGCTTATCTCCATTTGGTAGAACTACTATTGAAGTGAAAGTTTGATTCTGCAGTTTGACTGTTCCCAGGAATTCACTGTTGCGATTTCTGAGTATTGTTCACTATTTTTGTGACTTTTCTGGGAATTTCTGCCATATGCTACTGTTTCATTCCCTTGCCTGTATGATACTCTCTGTTGTTCGAATATATGTTGGATGCTTGCTTAAGTTTGGGAGATGAATGAATGTGAGAGATTCAGGTTCTACAATTGAATATGCAAACCTCTGTTGGATGTTTTGTTGATAATATATGATCAAACCTCTTTTGGATTTTTTGTTGATCATATATGCAAACCTCTGTTGGATTTTTTTGTTGAATATGCTTGCTATATGGATCATGAAACTTGAACTGATTAGCTTGTCAGATCCATTTCTGTCATATTCAGACCATTTGTCTCGTTCGTTGAACTGATATCTGTAGACAGAGATTCAAACTTCTCTTTTAGTTGCCATCAACTCTTTGATTCAATGTTCTGTTGCAATTTATGCTGGAAATTGGCAAGTTTCTGAAGTCTGATTGTGGAAGGCTAGCTAGGTAATAGGTACTGTGCCTGATGATTTCTTGTTTGTTACAGGCATGCTTCAAGCTTTGCATGCTTCCATACTCAGTATGTCAGTTTGTATTGCCTCTGATCATGGATGAAATTAGATGTTTCTGTGTTAAAATTGCAGAATTGTTGTCCTTTTCTTGATGCATTGAAATCCAAATGCATGTCTGTTATAGTCATATGGACAGTATCAATGACTATAATTGTCAGATTAGTTCTAGTAGTATTAGTCAGGTTGCTTAGGTGATGTCAGAGTAATGCTTTATGTTCACAGTTGTCAAAATCAGACTCAGTCATGAAATTCGAATCGACCTGTCTATATAATGGAGAGACATTCTAGCTATTGACTGATGTCAAAGTCACGTTTCAGTGTTTTCTGCTACTGAAATTTAGTGCAATTCTAGTTTGAATGGATTTCAATACAAAATGATATCCAATCTTTCAAACTGTTTTTATCTGTTAGCTCTTCATGTAAAACGTTATAACTGTGCAAATTGCACAAAAACTGTTTTGCCAGATGTTACTGTCTGCCAGGTTAGTCCGAATTCAGAGTTTCAGACTAGTACATCCCAAAATTTAGCTCAGCCTGTTTTGTTCTTGGAAGCAAATCAAACCACAACTAGGCTGTAGGGTTTCGGCATTATGATAAAATCACTTGTTCAAACTCTTTAAACCAGCCGCCGACATGGTTTCCCATGGACAAAACTTGCTCCAAGGGCGAGCAGCCGAGCACCTCTGCTACCAAAGTGGAAATGCATACTCCTTGTGCAGCCAAGACGATGACCACGATTTTTTTTGAAATAATATTATCTAAATTATTAATTTTAAATCCGGAAGCTGTAATAATAAAATTGCAGATTTAGATGCCAATCGGCGTACCAGAAGCCGATAGGTGGCTAATCGGTCACTCAGAAGCCGATACATGGCTATCGGCGTTTGAATTGCCGAAAGGAGACGGCCACAAGGTGCTATTGTTGCCAATAGAGCAATCGGCGGTCCAGGGGCCGATAGATAGCGCACCCCCACGCACAAGCACAATTTTTTTCTTTCTTTTTAAGCCACGTATTTTGATACGTATAAGTATTTATTTATGTAGTCAGAAGATGTAGAATCTTTTTTTAGAATTACATACAACGTCGACGCCCGCAATGCACGCATACTCACTCATGTGAACACACGTACGCAAACACTACCTTATGAGCACCTTCAAACGACTGAGCAGACAAATATCGAAATTCACGAAGTCACCACACGTGATCCTATTCAGAGTCACGCCATTCTCGATGACCTGACTCATTGTCCTCTATCCATCCACAAAAGAATACAATTCTCACTTTACGAGGAGTCAAAGGGTTTAAAACTTTGACTAAATTTATACAAAAAAAAAATACTAACATTCAAGATGTAAAATAAGTACCATTAGATTAGTCAGATAATATTTTTATAATAAATTTATTTAGAGACAAATATTAATATTATTAATTATATATTTGGTCAAATTTGAGCTAGATTAACCGGCACAGATCCCATAATTACATTATTTTGTGGACGGAGGAAGTACCGGGACATGTTAGGTATCGTTTGAGCCACGCAAAGGATTAGTTGAGGTGCTTTTTAAAATATTTTAGTAACGAATTGATTTGGATGAGACGGAAAAAATGGAATGTTTTAGTAACAGAAATCTGTTTAGATGAGCCGGAAAAAAACGAAAGTTTGAAAGGTGCCATCGCCTTGTTGGTGCACCAGGAGCCCATTGTCCCAATCGGCCTGCCAGATGCCGATAAGCTGGAGTCGGCCACTCGGCCATCACCCTGCCGAATGGGCCTTGCTCACGTTTTGTCGGCTACCACGTCTACTGTACGTACCCTGTCGGGTTCTCAATGACCGATAGGGTGCTAGACCCACAATTTATTAAAATGATGTTATTACAAAAAAAAATCCGATGACCACAGTCACCAACAGAACATCACCTTGCAGCCAAGCTCACCGCCGACGGGCCACCGCGCGCGGCCTCATTCAGCACCGCCGCTCCTTCGCACGCGGTCAACTCCGCACTGCCAAGCCTGACAAGCGCGCTCCTCCATGCTGCGCCCTACCGCCGCGCCATTACACGCGGCCTCCTCAAAGGTCTTCTTTGCACCTCCCGCGCCCGCCACCGCTACCACCACCGTCAACACCACGGCCCAAAGCTCAAGCGGCGATGAGTTAGCACCGATGCCATGGTCGCGTGCCGCCAGATCCGTGGTCGTGGTAACCAAACCCCAAGGGCTACGGGCACCGCGCGGCCGTCGACGCCGGTGACGGATGACCTCCCCAATGCCGGATCGCCGGACGCATCCATGCATTCGCGACGCGACGCGCGCCGCCCCCCGCCGCGTGCGCCGCCGATCATCATGCCACGCGCCGATCGGCGCCGCTGACCATGTCCTCATGGTGTGCCACCGGACGAGTGCCCACCTCGCCACAGTCGCCTCCAGCCCTCCACGAAGCGCGCGCCGTGGTCGTTGAGCGTGCTGGGCCTCCTTTAGAAAAACTTCCACTGGGCTAACAGAAAATACGTTCTGGGCCGCCCAAAAAAGGAAAGGTTTTGGTCAACAGGCCCAATCAAGAAGAGAAGAAAGGAGAGGACTGCCGGGCCGCTGGCAACCGAAGCCCTTTCCCGTTCCTTCGTCTCATCGTGTCCGTCTCGCATCCGCTCCCTGCCTCCCTCACCATCGCGGCGGCGGCGGCATCGCCTGAAACAGGAAAGGAAAGGGTAACCACCCCGCACCGCACCCACCTGTCGACAACGCGATCTCCTCTCCCTCCTATTCGCCTCCAAGTGGGCTCCGACGAGCGACGAATCGCCCTCCACCATATCCAGCAGGTGGTATTCTTCCGCCAAATCGCCTGCTACCCTCTCCAGCAGGCGGTGGCGGCGGCGGGCTGCGATCGGCACCTGCACCCGTCCCAACTTTGCAAGAAGCAGGAGAGGTTCCTTCTTCTGCCTCACACCCTGGGAAGGAAGGGGGGCAAGCGCGTTGTATCCAAAACAGGGAAGAAGAAAAGGTCTTCATCTATGGTATGGGTACCTGTACGGATGTACCTGGTAGAAAGTGTTAGGCGATTGGGGGATGTACCTGGAAGAAAGTGTTAGGAGATTGGGTTTGCGTGCTTGCCACAACAATAGCCAATCAGTAGAAGAACAGTAAAAAGGTTCATTTGATGAGGAGGAAACAAGCTCAGTGCTAAAGCTTGAGATGAAGCCCAAACCATCTTCGTCTGAAGATCACTGCAAGATTGCACAGGATGAAGATGAAGGTGGACATTCTAACAAGTCAGGTTCTTTTGTGGATCTCAGAGGAATTGCTCACGATGAAGATAAACGCCCCGGTCCTGGAGGACGGCTAACAGCCACTCTACATGTTGAATGGGCCACACATGCAAATAACTCTCTTACGTTTTTGTCCTCGCTTCACGCAAAAAGGGTGATCACCGGAGTTATTCACCTCTCAGACCTAGGCTTTTGACTTAGCTCAGCTCTTCTTCAACTTTCGATGTGTACTAAAGTTTGGTCGCTACAGGGCCACGCAAACTCGGCCTAGCCCACAGCCTGCCGGTGCTACATTATTGGGCCTCATTCCATTCTGACAAGGTTGGGGTTCATGCGATTAAAGATCATGAACAAGAACGAGGAAGAGCAGGAGAGCATGTACAAGCCCTCTTGGACCTAGACAATGACACCATCCGAGAGAGTATCGTATATTGCTTAAGGCATTTAAAATACGTCGGTCCTAAGATTCCTTATTCTTGTGCTGTAGAAGAGCCACA